TTATCTCTTTTTAAAAGCTCTTTATAAAATTTGAGAATTATAAAATGAAATTTGATCATTTTTTTTCTCAAAAAATTGCAATGATGAATCCAAACAAAAGTGATGGAGGAATATTTTCCTTTTATTAAGGCAATTTGGGAAGTATTCAATTAGGTGAGGAAGCAATTAATAATTGTTTAAACTAACTAACTGTTATTTCCAGAAAAATTACCCATTCTTTAACCTCTCATTAATTTTGGACTTTAAGAACTACAAGAGAAAATCTCTTAAAAATTTGCCAACTCATAGGATGGAATTGCTGATATTTTTACTAGATTGTTGAATAAATAACTTATCCTAAATTTGGTTTTTTATTAGCATAAATTAGATCCATTATAAAATTAATATTTATATTGAAACATGTGGTATAGTATATATATCACAAAAATAAAATTCTTATATTACTTAGAGCAGCCTATAAATATTATATATTATTTAAAAAAAATTTAGAGATATTAATTTCATCTGTCTTTATTATAATAAGTTATCAAAAATTGAGTTATTAAATGAAACGATTACAATGTAATATCCAGAATTTAAATAATATTCAGGAATTTCTTATATCTATTTAAATTTGATAAATAATATAAATTTTTACACATAGAGAATTTAAAATTAAAGAATTAGATATTATTAAAAAGAGCAAGAGAAAAGTGCAGGTTAACAAATCTGCCTTATGAAATTTCAAGAATATAATTTATTCTCTAGGATAAATTTGGAGAATTGAAGGGAAACTTTAGAACACCTAAATCGAATTACAAAATTCAAAGGAATCAAATTGTTTATAAATTAAACTTGATTGATTTCGAAAAATAATGCTTTACAATAGAACGAGAGTAGCAAGATAGAAGAAGGAAAATTGAGAGACCTTCTAATTATTTCCAACTTGGAGAAGTAAAAGAGCATCACAAATCTAGAAGTAGGGAGTTAATTTTATGATGGGAGAAATTTAAAAAATTTAAGATCAGGCAAGGTCGGTTTTAAAATATAAATAAGATAATTAAAGCTGTAAGAGAAAGAGAGCAGGAGCACTTTTTAAACTTTTTGAATATTGGAGAAGGAGCATGAATGATATTCATTTTCTTAAAAAAAATCAAATTATGTCAAAATATTTACTTATGTTATGTTATAATTATCAAATTTCTGTAACCACAATGTAAAAATAAAAAAGTGCTCTATTTTTTTTTTTGAGTTTGCTCATATATATTATTATTAAAAGAATTAGAATGAGCCTTCTATTTAGAAATCTTTTAATTAAAATGAATTTCAAGACCTCCTGCAAATGCTTTTCTCAAAGACGAATCAACAAAATACTATGTAGGAAGCTTTTAATAACTAAATATAAAAGTGCTTAATTAATCATAGCAGTGCGGAGAATGATTAATATAAGAAGAGAATGATAGATTAAGTCTTAAAAATAAATAGAGAAAAGTTTGTAAAGGAAAAAGAACATGAGATACCCATTCAACCCAAAACAAGAAATAATCCTTTCAAATAAATTGCATGACTCATAAGCCAAGTTAATATAGTTCAAGGAAAGCGAAATCACCTTAAAGAATCTTAAAATTTTACTAAAATAAATAAATAATTTACCCCTTATTAATAATATTATATAAATTATATCCAAGTCTTAATGGAAAGAATCTATTTAAAAATAAATAATTTGTTGGATTAAGACTTTAGAATTTATTTATTTATACAATTTTGATATCTTTTTATAATCTTAATAAATTTGTACATCAATTTTTACATACTAAAAGTCATTCTAAATTGAATGAGGAATTTTGAAAAAATACTGATATTATATGTATAAAAATAAATCTTGATAATATTAAAACTAAATCATGAAAGCCACTTATGAATTATATTGGTTATTGGAATTATTAGTCACATTAAGGTTAATTATATCAAATTAAATTGAATACAAAGTTCTCTTAAGTGCACTATCTTAGCATCACATAATAGAATATACTTATTTCCAACAACAAAATGATAATATAGTACCATCATTCAAAACAAAAATCTAAATTAGATGGACATAGTAGTTATGTTTATTCAGGATACTACTCATGCCTTAACATCCTATAAATGGATAGACTTATCATCTCTACCATTACAAAATGCTAAGTTACTTTCTGGTGAGAGTAGCATACTGACAAGACAGCTCCAATATGACCATCTAATTTTGCTTTTTGTTATCAAGTTTTAATATCACATAGTCGTATAGACTTTCTCTAATCCTTTTTAAAATAGATTCTGTCAAGTTTCCAAATATATTTTTGTTTCATTCTCATTTTTATAAAATAGGTGCTCATCAATAGTTTATAAAACACTCATTCAAACTCGCGATACATGATTGGGCCCTTTTTGAAAACTCTTAGGATTGTTTAAACTATTTTGCGGATTCCTTAAAAATAATTATTAAAAATAAGATATTTTCCATATAAAATCCAATTGCCTTTATATTAGAATAAATTAAATATCAATAATATATGATTGTATAGTTATTTAAAATTTATTAGAAAAAAAAAGTTTAAAGGGAGAAATCAAAATTTATTTTTTCATCTCAAAGGTAGATATGAAGAGAGCTTTCTCAATTTAAATACATGCATTTACTAGAGATACTCATTCTATTCAATATAGGATTACTCTTATTGATATTATATAAAATTTCTGCTTAAAGCATCTATTATATGTAAGACTTTTGATTTCATTAACTCAAAGAAATCCTAGGCAATTTGTAATTTCTTTTATCTAATTATTTTAATAATCACATAGAATTTTCTATATCTTTTTATAAAGCTTAACCTTATACAAATCTTCTTTACTTTCAAAATCTGATAATTCTTATAAATTGCATGAATTCTTATTATGAATGAAATTCTTACTTATTAAATGAAATTACTTCTATAACTTAATTCTGAGTTAAATAGGTAAACCACTAAAATCTTCCTTTTTAGCAGTTTTGAATATCTTCTCTTTGTTATTTATCAAAGAGATATTTAAGTACCTGATATTCTAGATAGATTGTAGTGGTCTCACTAGGTTATGGAAGTTTTTGATTTCTCACAAATCATAAATCCAGAATTATCATTTTTTGAATCATTTTTAGTAAAAATGACATAATTATAGTGAGTTTAATAAGTCTATACTTATCTAAGAATATTTGACTCTTCTTTACAGATTCTTAAAATGTTTCCTTCAACTTGTTTTTATTAAGCTTGATATTTAATCCTTTAAACATTAAACAATGCCTTAGGCAACCTTTGTTGCATTTTTCCAATCTATAATATTTTTCTATTTGGCATGATTTCTTTACAAAATCATAATATTATTAATCATACTCCAATTGAAACCTATTATATTAGTGTTTTGCAAGTCAATAGATGATATTAGTAAATATTTTTCTAAATCCAAGATACTAAAAATGAAAAAAATAAGTTTAAGAGGTTATATAATCTCAACCTAACCCCAAATTTATTCTCCCTTGAAAATCAATATCATAATCAAATTCTAAATTGATAAATTCAGAACTTTTGTATTTATTGATCTTTTTACTCCAGAAATTAAGCCTTTTGAACTATATCTAAATTTTTTCTGACATATTCTGAATAAGAGCAACTGTATTGGCTATATATACTTCCATATTAATCTATAACATCGCCCACAAGTATTGTAACCCTTATAAGTATTGCAAATTATCGATTACACTCTCTTAAATGGTATCTACAATTGACTAATCTAATTAGGGTTAAGATTATGTTAAAATATCGAATTTTAATCAATTAATATCATTTTGAATTGTTTTATTGATTTAATAAAAACAATTCCTCCAGATTAATTCTTTTTTAAAATATATCAGCGGAGCCTTTTGTAGAAGCAAATGAAATATTTTATTACACAAATAAAGTTATTGTTAAATTGACAGCCTAAAGAATTCTATGAAACCAGATCCTTTACTTTTAAATAATCAAAAAGCGCTAAACCTTATAAGATATATCGTATTCATTACTTGTATTACAATGAGATTTTAGATCTTTAGTATTCAATTGAATGGCCATTCCTAAATCGAGGAGATTTTATTGATTATTTCCCTCATATCTAATTTGCCTTCTAATCATGGTAGAATATTTTTATTACTAATACTATAATAAGAATTACCTTAATATTAAATCATTGAGTCTATTATACTTTATATTTCCCATTACCAAATATTTAGAACCTATTGAGGTAAAATATTTATGAGTATGCTTGTATAAGCAATAACATAAAAAGTAAATAAAATGGACTTTACAAAATCTTTGTGTGTCTAATCTATATTTCTTAAAGTACTCCTAATCAAAATAAATTATTGATTATTTAAAAAAAAAAATATACTATTCATTGGATTTAATCAAATAGCATTGTTATAATCTATAAGTGCATATTTTTTATTTGTAATTACATCATAAAAGATTCCTACCCATTTATAAAGTCTGTTATCTCTGTTAAATTAGGCTAAACTATTCATAGGGTTGAATGCCTCTTCTTAATTTCCAATTTATTTAAATAAAATACCTATTCAATATTATTTTTGATTGCTACTATTTTGATTTTTAAGATCTAATGGAAGGGATTATATTCTAATCCTCGAATGCCTATTCATTATTCCAATCTAATTCTATGTAAATCCTATTTAATATAATATCTCTATTCCATCTATTAAGATATAATTTAAAACTCATTAAGATCCAATAGAATTGTTGCTTGTTCGTTATCTCTTATGAAATAATATTAAATTTCTTTCTATAGAATTATTTCATTACAGCTATTATGATAAATTTTAGGATCTATTCTAAATTTTCTATCTCATTATATCTATATCACTCCTCTTAATAATTTATTATTTTACCTTTGTTATAATCAATTTTGAGTTCAAAGTTCTAATTGAAAAGTATATTAAAATTAAAAAAGCCTATTCTTTACTTCCCTATTTTTTATATACTTATTCAATTTTATTAATTGAATGCCTTCCTGTTTTAATAGATTTTAGAATAAAAGGATCCAATAGAATGGCCTTATTCATATCTATGAGTTGATATTAATTATTCATCATTTTATGAAATAATACTCATGACTACATATTCTAAGATTATTTCATTTAATTACTAGTTGAAGATTAAATAACTATTCATAAATATCGTACACTTAACCATTCTCTAAATTTACTATTATTCACAGTTTATTTTAATTAACTCATTGATATAATTTTCATATCATATATTCTGTTATTGATTAATAATACTGTATATCTCTCTTAATTGTTTGTGAATCTTTGTAGCATTTGCATCATTTAAATCATCATTCTTCAAGTATTCTTATTTTGAGTATAATATTCTGATAATTTCAATATGTTAATCACTTCATCTATTTACTAAATGAATTATCAATCAAAGAAGGATCTAACACAGCTTAATCAAAAAAAGAGATAATATTCTTTATAATACTTTTCAGTTTGTTTAAGAAGTATTCATATTAAGACTTCTATCTTTCCATAATGTCAGATTTAATATTATTCAAATAATCTCGAGATTAAGCAAATCATTTTCAAACCTTAAAAATGGAATCTCCCTAATCTATATTATGATTATTCTCCTTATCAACCATATATTATGCTCTTATTTAATTAATTGCATTTCTAATTTTAATTAACTCACACATATATTAATTAAACCAAGAGATGATTTGCTCCTATTCATCATTAAGTATTTTTTCAACACATATCTATCCTTTTTAATGTTCTAAGAACTTAATATATTATTTTTTGTTATGAAGATAATTTTATATTCATATAATTTTTATGACTTTTATGTGATTCAATTTACAAATGAAATATGAAGTCATTATAAAAAAAATATCTATTTTAAGATTAACTATCAAATTATAATTAATAGAATTAGAATTTCTGGACCTATTTTTATTAAGAATTAACATAAATAAATCTCAAATTCTATTATTAGCTATTTTATGATTAATCCAAATGTAGGCAACTCTATTTTTATAGAAGGGAATATGTTTACAAGACTTTAATAAACTAATATGTAAGGTCCTCAATTAAATAATGATATTGTACATTTGATTGGGAATCCAAAATAATTATTTATCTTAAAGTAATACAATAAAATAAGGACAAATGAAATACAGATTCTTAGGCTAATTAAAAGTTTATAAAATAAAGAATAACCTGAATGTCAAAATATCATTAAAATAATTGGTATATAGGAGAAGTAAATATAAAACTAACTGAGTTTATAAGTAATTTTAGAAAAAAGTGAAGGTAATTGCGAAAATTTGATTTCTGCAAATACCATTAGTTTATTCTAAAAACTAAATATATTTGAATAAGTAAACTTAATAATTTATTAAGATGGTAAAAGGAGTGATATAATTACAAGAATTAAGCTGTTATCTTAAAGATTTGAAACCAGAAAACTTTGTCTATTTTCAAGATAATAATAACAATTATGTAATCAAATTAATAGAATTTGGTTTTCTAAATCAAGAGTCTAATCCAATATCTCAAATCAAGTCTTTAAAATATATAGCTCCTGAAATCTTGATAACATAGGGAAATTATAATATAAATACAACTAGTATTTGGAGTCTTGGAATCATACTATATTAAATAGTTTCATCTCAACATTTTTTCTAATGTATTTTATTCATTCATTTTTAGTTATGAATCAATAAGAATTGATACAATAAATCAATTCTTTAACTTAAGAGTAAATAAATAATAAAATAAACTAAATTTTGAATATAGGATAACAAGAAAAAGATTTAATTACTTCAATGTTATAAAAAGAAAGTTAACACAGACTTAAATTATAAAGTGTATTAGAACAAATGTAGATTTTTTTATCAAAAATATAGGAATAAGAAGAAACAAAACAATTACAATTTGCAAAAGACTAATATATAATATTTATTAAAAATGTAAAACACAATTATAATTTATAAGTCCCTTAAATTAAACTCATCTCAGAATAATTTAAATTTTATTAATTAATTTATTAGTAATTTTAAGGATAGGATTAGATTTCATATTTGATTAAATTCAATTAAGAAATTTCAGAAACTATCTAATAAATAGAATAAAAGGAGAGCTCAAATTAATAATTTGACTCAAGATAACATGAAATTACTGTTTATAAAGAATTTAATGAAAAGCTTAAATAAATTAAATATAATTTTGATAATTCATTCAGAAATTTAATTCGTGATGCAAATTAATTTATTTAAAGAATCGATAAATAATATATGGAATCACAGAATGAATAAATTAGGCGCTATAAAGAATAATTAACAAAATAATAAGAGAAATTTAAATAGTTTTCTAATTTACCAACATATGCAAATATAATTAATTAAGTTTATCAAAAGATAGAAGAATATTTTGTATAAATAACAAAACTAGAATAATTAATAATTTAAAGAACATAGGAGGCTTTTTCAGAATACAAGTAAGCTTGTCAATAGATTCATCCATAATTAGTAGATTTTGATAAAGAAAATGATGAAATTGTAAAAAAAATTTAACTTTCAATTTAAATTGAAAAAAAAAAGGAAGAATGGAGAAAAAATTAAAATAATGTATAAGAATAATGGAAAATATTAGTAGAAAACACACCTAAATTAAAATAATAAATGATATAGTTGATAAATAATCCAATATGCTAATCTCTTAAGAAAGTGATAGATGAAAAAATTTTAAAATTAGATTAAGATATATCTGAAAATGAAAATTTATTAAATAGTTATAAAAATTTCAATCAATTCAATAGTGTTGAAGTTATTAATTGGTAGATTTAAATATTGGAAAGCTTTTAGAAAAAATTAAAGGAATTATATTTGAATGAAAAAATATAAGTAGGCCAATTATAAAGTTATTCCAATAATGTATAAGAACTATAAAAAAAGTACAAACTATTTTAATAAGCTACATAATCAATTAATAGTAAATTTCCAAATTATTAATATTTTATTAAAATTCATCAAGAAAATGAAAAACATCATCAATAATTAGAATAAGAAATAAAGGTTTTGTAAGAATATTTAATGCATTAAAATGAAAATGAGTAGCTATTTATATAAGCATTAGAGAATATGAAAACCAAAACATAAAGTTAAAAAAAATAAGAAATTGAAAAAAGGATTAGTAAAAATCAAGAAATTAATAAATAATAGGGTTAGATATTATCTGCTGTTTTGTAGAAAGTGTCTAAATTATAATCAGAATTAAAATTTACTGCTTAAGATCATAATCTAATTATGGATTAGGAATAGTTAAATGTACTAAATAATGCATTATAAAATGAAATAAATATGATGAATCAAAAGATATCTAATTAAATATTTAGCATTTAATAATTAACTCAATAAACGATAGAAATTTCAAAGTTAAATTCTAAAATAGATGATTAGATGAAGAGAATACCTTAGAAGTAGATAGTTGAAGATTTTATCAACAAATTTTAATAAAATTAAGACTCATATGAAAAATAGTATGCTTTAGTTAATTATATAAAATTATATCACTTAATAAGATATATTAATAGAATCAAATAAAAACCAAATATAATGGATTAAATAGAAATAACCAAATACGAGAAGGAGACTAAAAGTCTATTATAGAATTATGAAAATTATTTATTTAATAATAAAATTTAAATAAAAATTGAAGAAATGGAAATAAATAGAAAAGAACTGGAGTAACAACTTGAAAAATTAGAAAAGATATTAGAATAATAAAATTATGATTCATTATCCGAAAGGTTGAAATTTGAAAAATAGATAATTGAGACCAAATGGAATAATTAATTTTATAAAATAACTGATTTTACGTAAATGATAAGATTAAATAAAATAAAAACAGAAATTTAATAAGTAATTCAAGAAAAATTTAGAAATCAATTTTGATTTAAATAGTCAAATTTTATAATATAATTATACATGATTATATAAATTGTATCATTTTTTATATATATAATATAAACAATAATTATATAGTTTTATATTTATCATTAAAATTAGACTATTTTGTTTTTGAAATATGAATAATATAATAAAATGTTGTAAATAGAATAATCCTCAAATTAAAAAATTTGATTAGTTCAATTAAATTATCGTTTTCTTAAAATAAAGAGAATTAATTCAACATTTAATAAGTTTTATTTGATGGACCATAAGTTTATGTAAATTTTGACTTAGATTACCTTTTGGTGTTTTAGGAATCATTTAATCTTTAAATCAAAATAATTTCATTAAAAAAGTTCAGTCATTCAAATATATTTAATACTTCTTTATATTTTTCAGGATAATTAAGTATATAGTGAAGCATATGATAATCATTATTGTGTTTGAAGTATTTTGAATTGAGATTCTGTATAATTCAGGCTTCTGTAAATGAATTTTAGGATATAGGAACCATAAAAATTATTATAGATTGATTCATTTTATGGAAAGTAATTTTTATTTGGAAGGTTAAAAGAGAGTTTTATAAAAAAAAAATAGTTAATTTAAGAAACTTAAAAGGTAAAACTATTAGAAATGTAAATTCAATAACTTTTTAGAGGATGATTTATTGATCAAATTAAGTATAAGATTTGCATAAATTCATATTATTAAGCTAATAATTATTGAATTAATTTAGTGTTATTTATATATTAATAATTTTTCATCCTTGTATGAAATTAAATATGAATAGGATTTACACATTAATTTATAAAATTGTTAATTTTAGTAGATTAAAGAAGAGAGAATAAAAATCAAATTTATATACTTCACTTATATAATATCTCATATGATGAATATTTTTCATATTTATTATCCAAAAATACTAAATATTATTCATTATTGGTCATAGTTCCATTAGATTTATGAGTTTAACAATCTAATGATGTACAAATATTAAATGTGCCATCTTTTAATTGTCTAATCAAATAGATATGATGTTTATGTCTTATCAATATTAAATTTCTATCTTTATTATGTATAATGGGAAATAAATCATTATCTTCATATTCATCTTTCTTAATTAAAGTTATAGTTTTATTTGAATTCATTTCTATCTTTTTTCAAAGAAATTATTAATTATTAATGAAATGGATTCTATATCCTAATACAATTTCTAAAGTATATTTGAATTCTCATTTTCCTTATAATCCTTTCTCCCATATTATAAAGTGACTATAACCACATGATGGATTAATTTAAACTGAGTGATTCAACACTATTGTTATGTTTATCTAGTGAATAAAGATATGTCAACTCATTCTTTCTAAAACCTACTTACTAAACTATTATTTTTTCATCACACCCTCCAGAAATAAGTTGATCTTGTTATTTATTTAATATTAAATAATTAACACGACCAGTATTTTATTTGAATGGTTATGAAAACTTCCATTCATTTTGTTTAATTTATTGTCAACAGATAATTTGATAATATACAAAACCTGAAATAAAATTATTTGTTTCTAAATATTAGAATTAGATAATTTGAATCTTCCTTATTCAAAATTCCAAATTTTAATTATATTACTATCACTTGAAATCATAATTGATCCATCTTTATTGAACGATATTGCTTAACATAATCCAATCTATTAATATTAATCATCTATTAGTTTAAATTAAACTTATTTGTACATTATCAATTATTATACTGATTACTAATATTAATTCTCCCCTTATTTCACTTGCTTTTAAGTCTAGATGATAATTTTATAATTTACTTATTTAATATTTCATCACATTTTTTATTATCTTAAAATGGTTTAAATAAATTTAGGTACTTCTCAATTTTTTGATTCAATTATTAGTTTAATTAATTAATTTTATCTAATAATATTTACTAATTGAATTGATTCACTTTTTTCTTTATTATTGAAATTCTCTATATCATCATAAAAACTATAAGCAACATTTTATTATCCAATTATTTTTTGATTTTTTAATCAATTCATCTAAATTACCAATTAATTAATCTAATTATTTTCATTAAATTATAAACAATTGATGTTTCATTCTAAGTAAACTAAATATTAAATTCCTAATAGAAGGATAGGAATATATTATCAATTTTAATAGCAACAAAAATATATTTGATTATATATTTATTCTTTATTCGTATTTACATTTTTAATATATTAGAGATAGGTAATTTAATTCTATTTAAATTAAATTAATTTATATAGTTTTCAAAATTAATAGATATTAATTTAATATTAATATTAATTTGAAATTTATACTAAAATAACATTCAATTATATCTTATTTTTCAATATATTTAATTAGCAATCTTTTTCTCTAAGGTTTACATTCTTGATTCATAAAGATACTTTTTAATCTCATCAATTATTTCAACTTCAATTGCTAAAAATAATTTGTTTGTTATTATCGAATTTCTATTTTATTTCAAAATAGAAATTTAATTAAAACTGTTTCTAAAGGCTTAGAAGATCATATCTGATAAGAATGTGCTAATCTATTTTTTCATCATGTATCTTCTAAGGTCCTGTTAATGTTAAAAGGAAAAGTTATTATCATTATTATTGAATAAACCTAAACGTTTCATATATTAAACGATGTCATTCAAATAGTACTCATGATTAAAATTTTGCAATTCCTAAATTTATTCGGCTTATTTTTTAAAATTTTCTAATTAAGCTTTATAATTTTCAATTTACTAATAATATAATTATATTTATACCGCTAAAGCCCTTTCTCTATCAAAAAAATTTACATATTATCTAACCCTAATTTATTCAAATAATGACTCCATATTCTAATGTTATATATCCAAGTTATTACGCATATTCTTTATTTATTCAACTTTAACTTTAACTTGATTAAAAAATTCAATAAATAATATAACTTCTATTGGTTCTGTATATTATTTAACATTCAAATCCCTGCATAATTATTAAAGGCTAGGTTTTATTGATGCTTAATAAAACTATTTGATTGATTAAGGGTTTGATAATTATAGTTAATTACATGCCTTTTAAACTTACCTATTATGAATATTAAAACCTTATCTTAGCATTGACTATATAAAATTATTAGTAAGAACTTCTTTTACTTTTTTTTGATCACATTGTTTTTCATAAAAAACTTCTAGAATGAATAATAATTTTTGAATTTCTTCATCTCTTTGATAGCAATCAAGAATAATATTAGAAAAACATTATAATTCATATTTAAGGGCTTCCTTATATTAGTTATATTGTTGAATTTCATTTTTGACATTATTATACTTTTTATGACTTTCTCTTGAACAAACCTCAATTAAATCATCTTTGATTTTCACTACATCCTTTTCCTATTTACTTTTGGCTATTTATAATTTAATGTATTTTTATGCCATTTAACAAAAACTATTTTTAAATCCTACTGTATCTCCGCAAGACTATTAAATACATAGTTTAACCAAATCAAATAGTTCAGAAGATGTTTCTTGACTGATATTTTTTAAACTTTATTATTCACATAAGACTTATTTTGCCAAATTGAGGATACTTGTTTAGGTGTTAGCATTCTATGTAATATCTGATATTTATTTCAATGTGTTATATTAATTTTCTATATTAACCTTTTCCATATGGGTTAACCAAAAACCTGACTTTTCCAATCCTTCAAATGTAACAGCTGGAATTTATTTTAATACTTCAGTGATTCCAACTTTCTTTAAAGATTTCATCATAGTACCACCAAGTTATAGAGCTTCTTATACACCACCTGGTCCTGCCAAACCTAATGCTGTTGCAATTTTAATAACTTTATTTTAACCCCAAGCTCCCCAATCAATAGGAATTCCTTTCCAAATTGACTTTACTGCCAACATAATGTCTGAAATTCCTTCAGCTATTAAAACCCTTCCTATAGGTAAGGCTGCTCCACAAGTAAATACACATATAGCACATCCTACTACAAATTAAACTACTCCTAGAAAAAACATCCCTAAAGATTCCCAAAAACCTTTTTTCTTTTTGATTTTATATAATTTTCCAAGTTTAGGCAATGGTCCATCTTCTATAACTTCTTATTAATCTTTAATACATTATTTTAAATCAGGATTATTTACTTCATCATAATCAATAACAGGTATCCAATCTAATGAAAATTTTTCATCTTCACCTAGCTTAGATTATAGGGTATTTAGGATATCATCAATACTTTCTATTGCTTTTTAATACACTTTTATATGATTTTTTATTTTTTATTCTTGAGCATTTTCAATTTATTTTATTTCTATTTTAACTTTTTGATTGGTTGGCTTAATTTGAGTTTCTTATTCTCTTGAAAATTTTAACAAGGGCATTTGAGTGTTTTCTTTTTAAATCTTTATCTCTGATTATTAAGAATCTTATTTTTATTCTACTTATTAATTAGGATTCACTTATATTTTACTTAATTTAGAAACTATTTCAAAACCTTGTTCATCATCAATTTTGTTTTGAAAAAGGGATTTACATTATATTAATGTTTATATTCCTTCTTCATATTTTGATGAACGTATTAATTAACATCCTTTATAATATTCTGAATAAGGATCATTTATAGCTATCTCACTTGCTTTATTAAATAATTTTATATCTCCTTTTTAGATTCCTTATAATATTAAGTACTTTGGATTTTAAGCTTCATCAGAATTCAATTTTTCTTCAATATCATTTTCATTCAATCCATCATCTTGATGTTCTTCTAAATAAAGACCCCATTTTTCTTCTAGAGCTTTGAAAGCAGCCTTGTCAGTTTTTATGTTTGCTTAGCTTTTAGCAATTTGACAAAACTTTTAAAAGCATTTGTCTTCATTTAATAATTTATTCATCCTTTCTTCAATTTCATTTGAATATTATTACTCATTTAAATCTCTAAAGAATATGAGTATATCCAATTTTGAATGAGATAATTTTTTTGAATGAAGTTGATAGTAATGCATCGAATCATAAACAGTTTTAATTTCTTTTATTGGACCGATATATAGATTTTAATGGAAAGAAACAATAAGCTAAGCTGTTCCTTATTTACCTTATCTAGCTGTTCTACCAAATCCTTAAAGTTAGATTCTGATATTACGTGGTAAAAAAGACATAATCACATGTAGACCACCATTACTTTCTAATTCTTAATTTGTTGTTAAGTCAGTTCCTCTTCCAGCTAAGTTTGTAGCAATAATAATAGTTCCAGGACCAATTTCTTTATTTATTTCCTAATTATCATCAACATATGTAATAGAATCTAAATTATGTTTTTTTAAATGAGTTTCAATTTTATTAACATCATCAATTGTTTGATTGATAATTAAAACAGCTCTCCCTTTACTTTTCTGCAACTAAACTGCTTTTTATATCTCATTAAACCATTCATCCTTAGAAAGAGTTGCTATACCAGGTTCTTCTTTTAATAGTCTTTTTTTATAAGGAGGCATGAAAACAAAGTCAACATTGTATTATTTAGCTAATAAATCTTGTGTAATTTATGAACCTAATGTACCTGTAAGACCTAAAAGTGTATTATTATATCTTTTAAAGAAACCTACATTAGACAAAAAGTTTGTACTAATTGTTAATGGTGTAATAGGAAGATTGTGTTTCAATTAAAGGAATTAATGTAATCCTTTTTACCATTACATACCATCTTTATGTACCACACCTGTATTTTAATAATCAATAATTCTAACTTAATTATCAATTAGGTAATGTTTCTTTTCATGTAAATGAAATTTAGCTTCTATAGCATTTTCAATCCAAGATTTTTTAATAAAGTTGATATAATTTAGTCTAAATTTAGGTAGATAAGATTTCATGACTTCATTTATCTGAATAGTTAATGTATTTTCAATATATTCTTACAAGTCTATACTATAATGATCTTATCCAACTGCCATAATAACTTTCAAATCAGTTGTAATATTATTCTCTATTTTACAAATTTCATCCCAAATTAATCTAAGAACTTTAGTTAAATCTAACATTCCTGGATTAGATGAACTTAATATTGTTTTATTACTATTTCCATCAATAAGCATAGAATCTACTTCATCAACTATAATATATCC